CCTTCCTTCCTTCCTTCCTTCCTTCCTTCCTTCCTTCCTTCCTTTTGCAATATTGGAGTTGGGACTCTTAAGGCTTCACAAATTGGCTCCAGAGATGAGGAGAAAGATGTGCTGTGGGGCACTGAGGGGAGACTACAGGGTCTGATGGTTTATGCTGCTTCCAATCGACACTCAGCCTCCTTCTCTCCATTTTCCCAACGCTTCATCTAGATGGGTGGAAATGGCTGCCTAGATGAAACCTTGCAGGGTGTAGGAGCAGTGCTGGTGGAGATCGCTGCCACCACACCTCACTCCATGCATCTAAGGTGGAGGGCATTGGATTGCACCCTTAAGAATTCTTTAACTGACAGCGCAAGGAACAAATGCATTAACTTTAGCTTCCTAATTAAAGTGTTGGAAATATTAGGAATAAATATGATGCTTTTTACAAATCAACACTGTGCAGAGCCACATCATCTTTTTGTTGAGACAAATGCAAGCTGAAGACATTGTTGTGGCAATGCTAAATGTCACAGTTCATGTTAAAACTCCCTTAAGGATTGTAGATAGCATCTGCACACATCCTCAAGGAAATACAAAGACGTATCTGATGTAATTGCTGCCTCTCAGAAGATCCTGTAACCAGTACTAACATCTTTTTTCTTTTTCCTTCTGTAGTGTCAAAAGGATCCCCAGTTGGTTGACAAGATCATGAAAGATCTTGATAGCAATAAAGACAACGAAGTAGATTTTAATGAATTTGTGGTTCTGGTTGCTGCACTGACTGTTGCATGCAATGATTTCTTTGAGGAGCAAATGAGGAAAAAGGGAGAATAGAAATGGTAGGTGATATGTGTTTAATTATCACTCTGCAGGACTTCACTTGTATTTCCTGGTTAATGTCATAGGATATACGTTGATTTTGGATATTGCAAAATTTTTGGAAAAGTTATTTTGAGGACACTCTCCACTTTTCTCTCACTTCTTTGTGCATAAAACTTTTCCAAGCCTGACATCTCAAAGATCCAAAAGATGAGGCACCAGAAAGACAGTAAATAATATGGAAAATATAATGCCCAACCAGACCAAGTAAGTAACTGGACCAAGTAATTCCCAAGTAAGGATGGTAAAGCTTGAACTTCAACTCTTATTTGTCAGTGAAGGCAACTGAAATGAGGGTCGTGTTTTGTGTTGGAGAGGACAGGAATTGCATAAGCCAGGCATGGAATGGGATAGCCTATGACTAACTAGAGTAACGTGAAACCATCTTGTATCCATCTGTTCCCCCTTGGCCTTCCCAGCTTATTGTGATCTGACAAAACCTTTAAATATTTTGTGACCCCTAGTGTCAAAGCAGAAGCTGCAACATAGTCCTTAGGCTTGGCTTTTAATTTGAGCCTCCAGCCAGTACTGCAATTGGAAGAGATTACTGTAGACCCCAAGCCTATGAGGAATTAAGTGCTCAGTTTATGCACAGAATGTCCTAAATCATCAAAGAACCTTCTAATTCCTTTAAGAAGCACTAAAGTGAACTTAGGTCTTTTCTACATGGGTATTCATCATGCTTGTCATTCCCCATTTGAAGTTGATTATAGCTTCTTAAGATAGTATTGGGACCTTCCAGTTTCACTTCTGTGTCTAACCAGCAGGTCAGGCAAGATTTCTTAGAGCAGGGAAAATGCAGCATTTAATTAAGAGGTGAACAAAACTTGTTTTCACTTGTGTTTTTGCATTGTTCTGCTATATTACAGTGCCATCTAGAGACAGAAAAGCAGGAAAGAAAAGGCTCTTTGTGTAGTAGATGAAAAGGTAGTAGATGAAAAGTGAGTTAACAGCCTTGTGTAGAAGAGCTCTTAGGAGAAACCTTCTTTGCCCCTCCCACTGCAGGGTCCAAACCTCCCAAGGCCGGTGGGCTGTACCTGTGTACTGCCTTCCTCCTTCTGTAAGACCTTGGCAGCGGAGAAGTGCACAGGTATAAGCCATCAAACACGTGTAGTCGTTTAGCTGCTTCCCTCTGACTGGCAGTAGAAAGAAAGAAGCTGACCTGGAGGACAGCCACACATCCTTCAAGCCCAACATTGTGGACCCTTAAATTGTGAGACAGGACTCAACCCTCTGCACTTAAGGAATCACAGAGAAGGAAGAAATAATTAAGGACACCTGTTCCCAGGACTATTCCCTGCCCAGATAGGAGGTACTGGATTACTTATGCAGGTAACCACCCCCTCCCCCAGCATCTTTCAGCTAACCTTTATGCAATGCCCAAACAGAAAAAACGCATCACCTAAGAGGATAAAAGGCAACACAGGCTGACATAAAATTATGTATGGGTTGCAAAATTTGCACAGGATTGACATTTCTAAATAAAATTTAGAAAGAATAGTTGGATACAAGGTTTGGCTTTCCAGAGGAGGAAGGAACCTTCCACAAGAGGAAGGGTTCTGCTTGCAGAAGATCCATCTGCCTGATTTTGGGAGATCCTCCCATATGCACATTCACGGGAGCTCACCCACTCTGCAGGCTCTCCTTGCGCTCTGTGTTGCAATTCCAGGGGGTGGAGACGCTGCTGTGGGAGGGAGCTGAAAGGGGAGTCCACCAGCCAGCAGAGCAGGTCTAGCATAAATCCAGACACAACCCCAGGAGTAAGTTCTTTTGAGCTCAGTTCTGGTAATGGAAAACAGGTTCCTGGGTAACTTGTGACGAGCAGCTAGAATCAGAATGCCCACTGCCAGTGTGGGGTGGCTGTCCATCAACACTCCATGCCTTGTCAGCAGACTGAGTGGGCGCACACATCACCTGGGTTCTCCCCTCATGCTTATACGGCACAAAGGCTTTCCTTAAAGAGAGAACAGTCTTATGACAGTCCTTGAAAGAGAAGACTGGCCTCCATGCCTTCAACTACTAAGGAAAGAGAACAGGAGCAAAGCTGGGGAAGTCCGGGTGAAGGAAGAAGGTGAAGGGAGAGGAACAACTTGGCTGAGCAAACCCTATTTGACCACTTCCCAAAAGTGTTTAAAATTATTCTTAATATTGCTGTTATTTTACATGTATTCCATACATGTATCCCCAACCAACAACTCTGTGAGGTAGCTTAGGCTCAGAGTGTATGACTAGCCCAGTCCCCCAGTGAGCTTCATGGTCCAGTGAAGACTAGAATTCTCCCAGGTCCCCAGTCCAGCATTCTAACCACACACCACACTGGCTTCCTGGAGAGATGTGTCAGTGAATACATGCCTCCATGCCAAATACCCCTGCTTATGACAAATACCTTGATGGTTGAAAGAGAAAGAGGGACATCTTCTTCCATTCCCCTTTGGCCCAGCTCCGTGGGGGAGGGGGCAGCAACACGCAAGCCTTTGCAAAGGCTTCAAGACCAAAGGACAGGAGCACGTTCACACCATCCCCCACCCCCTCCAAACACCCCATGTGGGCTCATTTGGCATTGATTTAGCTTCATTCCTCAAGTGTGGCTGATACTGCACAGAACACATGGTGGATCATGGAGAGGTAAGGTCAAAAAACACAGCTCAGTCCTCCTTTTTTCTGCCATGTCTTGCTCCTCCTCTTCCATTATTCCATGCTTCCATCAACGCATGGCTCCTTCCTTGATGCTTTGTTGTAGGAGTGCACTGGTAAATCTGAACAAATAGCTCACAACTCACCTGAAGATGTTCACTTGTTGGTTTACGTGGAGGTTAAGGTATGAGCTCCATGGCTTCTAGTCATGAGGACTATGTATCACCTCTAGTATTGGAAACATTGTGCTCCTGGTCCCAGTTGCTGTTGAGCTCCTGTCCCAATGGTGAACTTTGGGATGTGGCTGACCACTGAGGGAACAAAATGCTGGGCTAGATAGGCCTTTGGTCTGATCCAGAAGCCAATTCTTACGCTTCTTTTAGAGATTTTTATACCACCGTCCATCATCTTTGGTGGTTTATAATAAAAATGGCAACATAAGTAATCCTTTGACAATTTGGATGTTCCTCAAAAGGCATTGACTGATTATTTATCACTGTATGTATAGCAGATATTTGGGATATAAATATTGGATGTTAAATATGAATCGAGAGTCACAAATGATACAAACCAAGTCACAACAGCTGATTTTTATAAAGAAAAGTAACATCAGGATAGGGTGTTTTGACTGAAGAAGGAAAAGCTGGAAGAGACAAGCTGAGAAAGTTCCCTGCAGGCCAGCCTTCCACCGTCCAACAGCTGATAGTCCCATGCGCCTTTGTAAGCATGTGTCCAGAACCTTGTGGTGGGAAAAGTAATTTGGAAGGATACATATGGAGCAGAACATTCACCCTGTGTGATCTACGTTTTCTCCTCAGAAGTTTGCAAGACTTCTATATATTGCAACTAGCTGCTCAGGCTCAGCAACATTTCTTAATTTGTTTTCCACTTAAGTTGCTCAGTTATTCTGCAAGCCAATCCAAAGAAAAGGAGAAATACTGTACTGTTTAGCCTTGAAGCTATGCTTCAAAACCAGTTGGAATTATTTTCAGTGCGGTTCGTCACTGTCAAGATTGTTAGGTTTAAAATGTGGGATCCAGGTCCAGATCTCAGCTCTGCAGAGACACTGGATGACATCTGGCAAATCATTTTCTCCCAATGTAATTTGCCATTTATGAGGATAGATAAAAAAACAGCAGGCAAATTTTCCTGAGCTTCTTAGAGGATGGACTCAATTAGAGACAATTGCTACCACTGGACTTTACAAAGAATATAGTGGTCCTGTATTCTACTCTACATTCTCCACCCAAAGATTGCCTGGACCAAGCCCAGTTTAAAATTGTTGTTGTTGTTAGTCAGGAAGTCATGTGCAACCCATCGCGACCCCATGGACAACATTCCTCCAGGCCTTCCTGCCCTCCACCATCCCTCGGAGTCCACTTAAGCTCACACCAACTGCTTCAGTGACTCCATCTAGCCACCTCATTCTCTGCCATCCCCTTCTTCTTTTGCCATCTGTTGTTCCCAGCATTAGGCTCTTCTCCAGGGAGTCCTTCCTTCTCATTAGGTGGCCAAAGTATTTGAGTTTCATCTTCAGTATCTGACCTTCTAAAGAGCAGTCAGGGTTGATGTTCTCTAGGACTGACTGGTTTGATCACCTTGCAGTCCAAGGGACTCGCAGGAGTCTTCTCCAGCACCACAGTTCAAAGGCTTCAATTCTTTGGTGCTCAGCCTTCCTTATGGTCCAACTTTCATAGCCATACACTGCAACTGGGAAAACCATAACCTTGACTGTACACACTTTTGTCAGCAGTGTGATGTCTCTGATTTTTAGTATGCTGTCTAGATTTGCCATAGCTTTCCTCCCAAGGAGCGAACGTCTTTTAATTTCTTGGTTGCAGTCCCTGTCTGTGGTGATCTTGGTGCCCAGGAAAATAAAATCTGTCACTACTTCCATTTCTTCCCCATCTATTTGCCAGGAAGTGAGAGGACCAGATGCCATGAACTTAGATTTCTTAATGTTGAGTTTCAAGCCAACTTTTGCACTCTCCTCTTTCACCCACATCAAGAGGCTCTTTAGTTCCTCTTCACTTTCTGCTATTAGATTGGTATCATCTTCATATCTGAGGTTGTTGATATTTCTCCGGCAATCTTAATTCCAACTGGTGATTCATCCAGCCCCACCTTTCTCATGATGTGCTCTACATATAAGTTAAATAGGTAGGGTGATGGTATACAGCCTTGCCGAACTCCTTTCTCAATTTTGAACCAATCAGTTGTTCCGTGTCCACTTCTCACTGTTGCTTCTTGACCCGCATATAGGTTTCTCAAGAGACAAATAAGATGGTCTGGTCCTCCCATCGCTTTAAGAACTTGCCACA